TGCTCTGTTTATCTCTCTCTCTCTCTCTCTTCTCTCTCTCTCTCTCTCTCTCTTTCTCTCTCTCTCTCTCTCTTCTCTCTCTCCTCCTCTCTCTCTATATATATTATTATTTATTATTATATATATGTGTGTGTGTGTGTGTGTGTGTGTGTGTGTGTGTGTGTGTGTGTGTGTGTGTGTGTGTGTGTGTGTGTGTGTGTGTGTGTGTGTGTGTGTGTGTGTGTGTGTAATCAAGAGCTAATAATATTATATTATAATAAATATAGAAAAATAGAATGAGGTGTAAAATCTACATGGGTGTCCGTGTGTTTTTACTTTGTTATGTCGTTATTAGTGTTTGTCGTGTTTATATATACATATATATATATATACGCAGACTAGCGCATTGGCCCTCGAAATGCTAGTCACCATTTCTAGTGAATTTTTTGTACACGCGTTTCGAAGATCTGTCTTTGTGACACACGATATATAGACTGTTATCAATGCCTACCTACAACATTTAGCCTCCACTTCATCATTAACTGACACGCGTGCATGTGCTTACAAATATTGTGTTACCCAGCGGGGAAGTGGAAATCCCAAGCGGTCAAACATAATCACACTCTCAGCAGCGATACTACGTTCCACGAACACGTCTGCCCATCGATTCCTAGAACCTGACATGGGCAGTATCAAGTGAAACAGGGAACGTGGCCGGATAACCAAAAACATTGCTCTTTATATTATATTACGTTAGTATATATATTACGTTACTAAGGTATATCATTAGCTTATATGTTACTGGTAGTATGTGTGCATTCTGACCACCGTAGGTGTGTTTTATTATATTATCCAACATCTATTATCATATGAGTCTAATGCACACTCGGAAACCTCATGCACAGGTACTTGGAACGTTCCAATAAAAAAAATTGGTAAGTAAACACGAAAAGTAGTTATTACCAAAGTCTTAATGTTTCTCGACTCTCTTTCGCCTATTATTGCCGATTATTTCTTGTAAATGCCGTTCAAATGCTCCTCTGCAAAACACAAGTAGTGCCTACACCGCACGCACGCCGCTGTACACAATCAACAAAAATACATAGAATCAGGAGTTAATAAAGACAAACAAGACGACTTTGTCTTTATTAACTCCTGATAGAATTGTGTGTGTGAGAGAGAGAGAGAGAGGACGAATGAAAGGATATTCATTTTTGTTATTAATAAAGATATTAATTGTTAATTTTTGTTCCTATTCCACGAACAATTATATTTTCTTGTTAATTATTGTTGCTCCAATTCTTAGTCTAATATGTATGTCTGAAAATGATCCAATAAATCTAGAATTAAAAACTAGAAAAACTTAAATTACGTGTATAAACAACAATTGCTTTATTTACAGTTCTATTTACATTGAGTTCACTTCGTTTCCATATCATTCAACGCCACACACCGCTGTCGACACACGCACGCCAGCAAACTGCACGTGCTCAAAATTGGTACGGTAAGAGCGGAAATACTATTACGTGCGCTTCCGGGATACAAAATTTGCCGTCTAGACGATTGACGCATGCGCATTCGTGAGGTCGAATCATACGATCGTCACCCGCTCGCACTTGCCGCCAAGAGCCGTGACGTCACAGCACACATTCGCAGCAGAACGTCACGGATCGTTCTTCGAACGTCCACGTCTTTTCGAGAAGCTCCGTCGGAAAGATGTCGCCGCCAGGCGGCGCGCGCCACCCGTTCACTTCCGCCTGACTGCACGCGTCGCGTTTCCGACGCAGCACCTTCACCGTGAAGGCCTTCGGGCGGCAGCTGAAGTGTCCGAACCAGCACTTGGACGACGTGCACTCGACGCCGCGCAGAAAGCGCGGGAATCTGTCGGGACCGAGGTCGTGCCAGACGACGCGGGAATCGCAGCCCCACGGCGTGCCGCCGGTAGCGCCCGCCGCGCGCTTCGTCCTCTCGCCTCGCGTCGAATTGCCGCCGACGTCCGACACCGCTTCTAGTTCGTCTGGCACTGGCGTCGCTACCGTCGTCGGCGTTCGCGCGTCGTCGCGCATGCGCGCGAGAACGCTGCGAAACATGTCGACGTAGAACTTCTCCGTCGGCAGGTCTCTCTCGTAGTCGCCGCCGACAACAAACGGACCGTGCGTCGGTTTCGCCGACGTCGTGTGCGACGCGTCCTGCAGCACTCCGTCCTTGCCGTCGCGTCGGCGCCCGACGTCGGCTGACCACTCGTCGGCTGACCACTCGTCGGCTGGCTCGTCGACGGACATGTATCGCTCGTTGAATGCCGGCCCCAGCAGCGTCCTGAGGAAATCCGGCGGCGTAGGCGGACATTCGATCTTGTCGACGACAACGTCGTCATCGTCGGCGCCGATCGTCTTGTTGGCCGGTCGTGCGACGGTTACGCTTACTAGCAGCACGGCGGCCAGCATCAATACTACGTCGGCATCGGGACACGGCATGCTTCACGCTCGCTCGGCTGCGACAGGCGTCCGCTCTCATGCACATGCTAGCTGACTGCTGTCTGCGTGCAGCGCAGGCCGACGCCGCGCCGACGACCGCTCCTTGTTAGCACCTCCCGCCCATCCACAGTCAATTCTAGCGTGTGCGATCACTTCCACACACCTGCGCGATCGCGTACCTGATGATCGAGTCCCTCCCGCGAGACAATAGCAGGGTGTTGGGAAGGGCCGCGTGGCCCATGCGTCCTGGACTCGCCCCGGGTTGACGAACAAAGGCAGCGATGCTTCCTCGTTAGGAGAGCCCGCGTTCAGGGTTGCTCTAAGGATGAGCAATTAATTAGAACCTAATGCCGCTAAGAGTCAACAATCGTTTAACCGCTGCGTCAGCTCTGCGTTCTAATGCGGAGCGTTTAAACGCCATTGACTTGAACACGTATCGCAGCGTTTAGCATTTTGGAGTTCGATGCGTAGATAAGTGAGTTATGAGTTAGTATGTATGCTATGTAGTGATGCAAGCACGCAATAGAGCAAATAAGAGAAATGCGGCAAACCTGCACAGACGGGGAAGTATGTGAATTGCAATTAGCATACATATATGAATGCTGTCGGTATTCACATAACCTAATTAAAGTAGTTCGCTTATTACTTATTATCGCTTTGACTTTCTTACAGATTCACAAGCTCTTTGGAAATCAGTCATTAGGTCATGAGTAATGAGTCATGAGTAATCAGTCTTAAGTCATTCAGTCATTAAGGAGCCATATGTAAAGTCGTTCAGATAAGAATAAAAAAAGAATAGGCGATACTCGATCTGGGCTTGTCATTATCTATCTGCTTATCTCCTTTCTTATGTCATCTGCTCTTTTATCTCTCTCTCTCTCTCTCTCTCTCTCTCTCTCTCTCTCTCTCTCTCTCTCTCTCTCTTCTCTTCTCTCTCTGGTCTCTTTCTCTCTCTCCCTCTTCTCTTCTATACTGAATATATTTATTGTATATATTATATGATTGTGTGTGGCTGTGTCGTGTTGTGCTGTGTGTGTGTGGGTGTGTTGTGTGAGGTGGCCGCTTGGATGTGTGTGTGTGGTGTGTGAGGCGTGGTGTTGTGTGTGTGTCGTGTGTGTAGTGATGTGGTGGGGCGGTGTGCATTGCGTGTGTGTAATCAGAAGCTAACTAATACCTTAATAATTTATATTAGTGAATACAATTATAGAAAAACTAGACATGCAGGTTAAAATCGACGATGGGTGTCGGTGTGTTTTTTACTTTGTTATGTCGTTATTAGTGTTTGTTCGTGTTTATATATTACAACTATATATATATACGCCAGACTAGCCTGCGGGCGCATGGCCCTCGAAATGCTAGTCACATTTCTCGTGAGATTTTTTGGTACTACGCGTTTCGAAGATCTGTCTTTGTGAGAACAACGAATGATATATAGAGACTGTTATCAATGCCTACTACAACACTTAGCCTGCACTTCATCATTAATGACAGCGTGCATGTGTTACAAATATTGTGTTTCAGCGCTGCGGGCAAGTGTGGAGAAAATCCCACGCGGATTCACACACATAATCACACTCTCAAGCAGCGGCATACTACGTTCTCACATGAACACGGCTGCTGCCGATGCGTTCCTTAGAACCTGTGACATTGCGGGCAGATATCAAGTGAAAAACAGGGGAAACGTGGATCCGGATAACAAAAACATTGCCTGCTTTAATATTACTATTTACGTTATCTAAAGGTATATCATTAGGCTTAATCATTGTTACTGGTAGTATGTGTGCATTTCTGGACCCACCGTAGTGTGTTTTATTATATTTACTCCAACATCTATTATATTATGCAGTCTAGATTGACACTCGGGAAAACGCTCATAGAACCAGGTACTTGGGAACGGTTTCCAATAAAAAAAAATTGGTAAGTAAAACACGAAAAGTAGTTCATTCACAAAAGTCTTAATGTTCTCTACTCCTCTTTTCGCCTTATTATTGCGCATTATCTTCTTGTAATTGCGTTCAAAATGCGCTTGCCTCTCTGGCAAAAAACACAAAGTAGGGCCTACAAGCGCCACGCACGCTGCTGCTACACAATCAACAAAAATACATAGAATCAGGAGTTATAAAGACAACAAGGACGACTTTGGTGCTTTATTATTTCCTGTATGAAATGTATATAACAAATTGTATTATATTTTATATGAATAGTATATTTCTTGTTGTTTGTGCACAGGCGGCCGTGTGGCTGCGCGGTGTACCTCATGTGTTGCATGAGGAGCATGTGAGCTGGCATTTCCAGAGTTATCGGAATAATAGGCAAAAGGGGAGTAGAGAAAACTTTCCAGACTTTTGCGTTGCTTGCATCACTACACATAAGCATACATTTACTAACTCATAAACTCACTTTCTACGCATCGAACTCCAAAATGTCTAAAAACGCTTGCCGAATACGTGTTCAGTCAATGGCGTTTAAAACGCTCCGCCATTAAAGAACGCAGAGCTGACGCCAGCGTTAATACGATTGGTTGCACTCTTAAGCGGCATTTTTAGGTTCCTAATTAATTGCTCATCCTTAGAGCAACCCTGAACGCAGGGTCTCCTAACGAGGAAGCAGTCGCTGCCTTTGCTTCGTCAAACCGGGGCGAAGTCCAGACCGCATGGGCCACGCGGGCCCTCCAACACGCCAACAACAACCTGCCTATTGCTCTCGCGCGGAGGGCGCAGACTCGATCATCAGGTACGCGATCGCGCAGGTGATGTGGAAGTCGGGTGATCGCACCACGCTAGATTGACTGTGGATGGGCGCGGAGCCGGTTGCCTAAACAAGGGAGCGGCTCGTCGCGCGCGTCTTCGTCGGCCTGCGCTGCACGCAGACAGCAGGTCAGCTAGCTATGTGCATGGGAGCGGACGGCCTGTCGCAGCCGAGCGAGCGTGAGAGCTGCCGATGTCCCGATTGACCGAGCGTCGTATTGATGCTGGCCGCCCGTGCTGCTAGGTAAGGCCGTTAACCCGTCGCGCGCACGACCGTGCCCAAGCAAGTTACGATCGGCGCCTGACGATGACTCGACGTTGTCGTCGACAGAATCGAATGTCCGCCTACGCAGCCGGATTCTCAGGACGCTGCGGGGGGCCGGCATTCAACGAGCGATACATGTCTCGTCGACGAGCGCAGGCGACGCGAGTTGGTCAGCGACGAGTGGTCAGCCGACCCGTCGGCGCGCCCGACGCGGAACGGCAAGCGACGGAGTGCCCTGCAGGACGCGGTCGCACACGACGTCGCGCGAAAACGGACGCACGTGCCTTGGTTTGTTGTCGGGCGGCGGACTACGAGAGAGACTGCGAACGGTAAGCAAGTTCTACGTCAACATGGTTCGCAGCGTTTCTCGCGCGGCATGCGCTAACGACGCTGCCGAACGCGACGACCGGTTCTAGGCGACGCCGAGGTGCCAGACTGAACTTAGAAGCGGGTGTCGGAGGACGTCGGGCGGCCAATTCGACGCGAGGCGAGAGACCGGAAGCGCGCGGCTGCGGCGCATACGTGCGGGCGCCACGCCGTGGCGGCTGGATTCCGCGTCGTCTGGCACGACTCGGTCCCGACAGATTCCCGCCGCTTTTCTGCGCGGGCGGTCGATGTGCAACGTCGTCCAAGTGTTTGTGTTCGGACACTTCAGCTGCCGCCGAAGGCCTTCACGGTGAAGGTGTGCGTTCGGAAAACGCGACGCGGTGCAGTCAGGCGGGAAGTGAACGGGTGGCGCGCGCCGCCTTGGCGGGCGTTTACATCTTTCCGACGGAGCTTCTCGAAAAGGGACGTGGACGTTCGAGAACGATCGCGTGGGGACGTTCCTGCCTTGGCGAATGTGTTTGCTGTTCACAGTCACGGCTCTTCCCGCCGCGGCGAAGTGCCGATAGCGCGCGTTTTTTGGGGGGCGGGGGGGGACGATTTCGCTAGTGATTCACCTCACGAAATGCGGGCATGCGTCAATCGTCTTAGACGGCAAATTTTGTATTCCGGAGGGCACGGAATAGATATTTCGCTCTTACCGTAACAAATTCATTGAGCACGTGCAGTTTGCTGTGCGCTGAACTCCCCCCCCCACCCACCCCACCCCGCACCTCCCCGCCTCCGTCCCCCCCCGACCCCAAGCCGCGCCTGTCCGTCGCGCCGCCCTCCCTGCACCCACCTCGATATGGGAAACGAAGTGTAAACTCAAGTAAATAGAACTGTAAATAAAGCAAGTGTTGGTTGCTTATACACGTAATTTAAGTTTAAATATTCTTTCTAGGTATTTTAACTCTAGATTAAAAGAATAAAATATATATTGGGATCAATTTCAAAGACATACATATTCCCTCAGCAACATCAACAGTTGGATCCCCCCATACCCCCCAGCAACAATATAATTAACAAGAAAACTATAATTCGTTTCCGTGGATAGAACAAAAATGTAACATTATAATATCTTTTTAATTCCATAACAAAATGAACTATGCCTTTCATTCGTCCTGCTCTCTCTCTCTCTTCTTCACCACCACACCAATGCTCCTCCTTCTCTCTTCCATCTCTTCTCTCTCTCTGTTCCACACACACACAGTCTCTCTCTCCTGCTCTCTTCTCATCTCCTTCTCTTCCTCTCTCTCATCTCTCACACACACACACAACACACACACGACAATCAGCCAGAGCGTCCGCCCCCCGCTGCGCCGATTCATGCGTGCTCAGGCGCATGTCCGCAAGAATCACCCTGCTGTGAGCATGGATGTCCGACGCGTCCCTTACAAGCTAGCGGCCTCCTTGCGTTCGGAACGGTAGCGTAGACTCTTGTTCGCCCAAAGCAAATGCGTTAGACAGACAGCGACCCACACCCCCGGTAAGCATTTCAATTCTGGAGTATAAAATGCATAGGAGAAGCGGCATCGCAAAAATTCGCCGGATCTCGCATTCTTGCATTTCGGCTGACACGTCGCCGAAACATACGCGCTCTAACCCTTCCACATCTGGTATAGCAAACGGAACCTGTTCATTTAGAGCAGCGTCTAGCACTGTCAACCACGTTTGAAGTTAGCGAGGCGCCATTTTGCCGATGAGCATCTTCTCTGACATGTCACACTCTCTGAATCAAATTGCTTAACGTCGGCCCTACGTCAATTCCTTTGGGCGACAGGTCTCTGGACGTTCCGAGCCCTACCCCTTTCACGGTGGTATAGCAAGTGAACCTTACGCAGGAGCAGTTCCACCACATTGAAGTAGAGAGGGTGAATTATTCGATGCGGCCACTTATCCTCTGGCATGGCCGCACCACAGATTAAATGCCCTTAAACGTTCCAGCCCTTCTAGGTCATTTCCTTTGGCCGACAGGTCGCCACACGGTGTCCCCCCGGCCCTATTTCCCTGCTACAATCTGGTATATTAGCCAGGACCTTCGGACCTGAGCAGCATTGCCACCCGTTTGAAAATATGTACGTGCTGTTTGGCTGCTCGGTGGCGTCGATCACCGGTTGACTGCAAGAAAATTTTTTCGGCCGTTCTTCACTATTTTTTTTTCAAACTTAGGCCGCGGGCGGGGCCGACGGACTGTGTGCTTGGTAAATCTGATCTACATGCTTCACCTTGCTCGCAGCATCGCAGCGCACGTTTCCTAGCTATTGCTAATTTACAGGGAATGGCGCTCCGACGTCGGTCGCCGTTGACTCGCTAAGACAATTTTCTTCGGACCGTTTATAACCGTTCAACTGGCAAGCCAGACAAGTGCTGACAGCACGTGTCCTTGGTTAAATCCGATCTATACATATTCACTCTGCTTGCAGCATCACGCCGCTGGGTTCCCCACTATGC